TTACATACACACAATGGAATACTATGCTACTTTGAAGAACAAAAAGGAAGCTGCAAGCCACCACCTAACATGGATGAACCTTGAGGACATTATGCTGAGTGAAATTAGTCAGTCAGAAAAGGAGAAATACTGCATAGGACTATTATTGTAAAAGATTAAGAAAAATAACCCACCCTAAAAGGGAAACAAAGCATATATATATATATATATATTTTTGCTGATCACTGGGATGTATGGGATGAGGTGAGGGGGAGGGAGCGGAAGACGGATCACAAGGTAGGGAATCGACACAGGATAGCTTGGGTGCTGGGGGAGTTTAAAAGAAAAAAATAATACTCATCTTTGCCTGGAGCTGAGTCTAGTGGGAGAGACAAACAGTAATACACAAATAACAATGCCTTACACTCATGCTGTTATTTATTTACAACATAAATAAATCTATATTATAAAGAAGTACATATGTAGTGTAATAGCAGGGGGTGGTAATAGCATGCAAAATAAAATAAGAAAAGGAGGTACCAACTTGAAGAGAGGTGTAATTTGGGCCAAAACCATCCCAGGCAAATGGCACAGCCAGTGCAAAGGTCCTCAGGCAGGGATGAATGAGCTCATGAGGAGCAGCAAGGCCAGTGTGGCTACAGAGAAGCAAGGGGAAGAAATGGAGAGCTGAAGAGACTTGGAGGCTTCAGTGAGGATTTGGGCTCTTGCTCTGAGTGACGTGGGAGCCATGGAGTGTTCTGAGCAGAGGAGGAATGTGATCTGGCTCAAGCTTCCCAGTTCTGACCTCAGTGGGGGAAACAAATTGAGGATGAGGGCAGAACTGGGAAACCAGAGAGAATTGATTGCACATGTTCAGGTGGGAAGTGATGGGGACTCAACCAGTTTAAGGCTGTAGAGATGGTCAGAGGTGGTGGGATTTTGTTCGCAGTTTGAGATACCAAGAAAGAGAGAGGAACTTACCATTGGATGCTCCCTGTGGGGTGAGGACATATCTTAATAGGAATTTAGGGCCTAAAAGTGACCAAGATTTTGGTTTAAATCTCATACCCTAATAATAATAACAGCAACAACTAATACTTAAACTGCACTGATCAGACGTCATGCTAAATGCTTTACTATATTAACACATTTAATACTTTCAACAAACCTGGATTAAACCAAAGCACAGAGAAGTTAAGTCTTTGGCCCATAATCACACAGCAGAGGTTGGATATGAACTCAAGAAGCTGGCTCCAGAGGCTGTGCACTTAACCACTGTGCAAACCAGCTTCTAAACTCCTGCTTTCTTTCTGCAGAGAAGAAAAGGGGAGATGAAACCTTCCAACTCCGGATGGAAACAAGGTGAGAGCATCAGGATCTGCTGGGTGGGAGGAAAGTTCAACGAGTTTGTCCTGATTTCAGAACAGCCCTCCCTGTGCACTGAATGGAGTAGAAACCAGCTGCTTTAGCGATCTCTTGCTTCTCTAACAGAAATACCACAGTGGATGTGTTTCTCCCAGTTTAGGAAGCTAGAATTCAGACTACCAGTTCTTGGGAAAGGTTCTCTCTTAATCTCTCGGCTCTGGGGAAAGGTCCTCATCTACTCTCAGCATCTGTGGGTCTGAAATTCCTTGGAGATCTCCATGTGTCTTGGCAGCAATCTTCCCCTGGGTCTAGGAGGTTCTCAGTGCAGGGACCTCGGGTCCAAAGGACACACTTCACTCACAACTGTTCTTTCTTGGTGGTAGTTGGTCCCTCTGATCTCTGCTTGCTTCTCTCCTTTTCTCTCACATAAGATAAAAGGTAATGCAGGCTTTTTATCTTACGAGGAAACTCCCCTTATGTTGTATGAGGGCTGTGATGGGATTAATGGAGTTTGGCCTCAATCTTTTTACAACTGATTAGGTGATCACATTAGATCACATCATGGGGGATTATTTATTGCTACATTACATCATTACAAACAGAGGATCATGGTCCAGCCACACTGGCACATTGGCATATTTTTGTAGGACACAATTCAATCCATGACTCTAGTAAATCCTGGCCCCTCTCCCCATCTTGTGCCTGATTTTGCTCTCCCATGCTTGTCCTCCAGCCTGCCTCCATCCTTCCCTCTATCTAGTCCCCCATCTTGCCATGTATGTGTGCCCTGGAATAGAAGCCTCCATCTCTCCAACATGTTCCATGATCCAGATCCCCAGACTGGCTCCAATGCCCACAGATCTCCTCAAACCTGATCTTCTCCACCCTAATTCTGTTCTGTCCCTCAAGTGTTCCCACCCAGGTCTGCCCCAGATACAAGCATATTGAGCATCTGGAGACCTTGGGTGATGCAAACAGTTAATGTGTTCCTCTACTAACAGAAAGGTTAGAAATTCAAGTCCATCAAAAAGTGCCTCAGAAGATAAGCTTGGTGATGTTCTCCCCAAAACTTAGCCATCAGAAACCCCATGGAGCACAGTTCTGCTCTGACGTAATTGGGGTTGTTATGAATCAGAATTGACTTGATGGCAATTGGAAAGAAAGATGCTCAAGAGATTGAGCATCTATTTTGTGCCAGACTCTGTTCTAGAAGTTGAGACACAGTTGGAAGCAAGGCAGCCCCTCCCTTCCCTAACCCAAATAATCACCCAGCTTTGACCAAATGTGGCAAAAAGAGAGCCTTGGAGAAGCCATGGGAGGGTAAATAAGAGGAACTGGGCTGATGGACAGCCAACGAAAGCGTCCCAGAAGGACTAATGAGGGAACTGGAATAGCAAAGGTAAGAATGGAGGATTCAGGCTGAGGGGGAGCATGTGCAAAGGCTCTGTGTCCAGAGAGACAGCCACTTAAGAGTAATCAAATAGAGGTTGAGATGTACGGAGGTGAGGTGGAATAGTACAGAGTCCAAGAGAAGATGGTAGCGGTGATATATTAGCTTTGTGATTGTTAGAGCTCCGTGCTGCTAGGTGCAGAGTTGAGACAGGGACACTAGAAATAGGCTACTGCACTAGCCCAGCTGACAGATGATGGCAGCTTGGAGCAGAGTGGGGGCGATGGGAGCGAGGCAGGAGCACAATTGGAAGAGCATCTGGGTCTGTAAAATCCCCAGGTTCCTGGGTAATCGAGCAGCCACAATGACCATGATGGAGATCTCCCTGCTTACTGGCTTCTACCCCAATCATGATGACCTCAAACAGGTAATAATCCACCCACATGCCCACTGGTGAGCCAGGGTAGGGGTGCCCTGACATCATCTCCCTCTCTCAAGCTGGGTGCAGGGCAGCATCTATCCCATGTCAAAATCCCCAGGCTCAGGCCTCACATAATCCAGGTCACTTCTGATTGACTCCCCCGCATGAGCTTAGTTAAGCCCTTGCTCCTTTGGGCCTCACTTTCCCCACACTGGAACTCATTGGGGAGAGTTGGGGTCTCTCTTGGTTGTTGCTTCATGCTGATTAGAGCTCCTGAGGCTGAGGACCTGAGTGGGTCTCTGCCGACCCCCAATCACCTCCTCTGCCCCAGCTCACCAGTGACATGGAGATGTATGCCTTCCAATATGAGACCAAAACAAGCTCCAGCGACAGCACCGTGGTACTCTACCTGGAAAAGGTAAGGAAGGCCTGGGGCAGCCCAGTGGGCCAGGAGCCCAAGGGCAGTCCCTTGAGCAGTGGGGTCAGTCCCACAAGAGGTACATTCTCTGAGGTCAGATCCTCTAGGTCTGTTCTCCATGACCCCAATGCTTGTAGTTAAGTCCACATGGCCAGTGGTCATGGTCAGTGCCCATGTGGCCACGCAATGCAGTCAGTGTCTCATAGTCAACACATGTAGGTCTCCCCTCTCCCAGCTCTCCCACGAGGAAAACACGGTGCTGGGCTTCCGGGTTCACAGGATGTTGCAAGTCGACTTCCTGCAGGCGGCCATGGTCACCGTCTACGACTACTATGAACCTTGTAGGTAGGGGTAAGGGGGTGGAATGGCGGTCCCCATGGACCAAGGCCAGGAACATGGGGAGAGGAATGAATGAGGGGTGGGACCAAGAAGGGGAACAGGGCGTGACCTGCTAGGGACTGGAGAAGGGCACTGGAAGGGGCCTTTGGGGGTGGGGTATATCTAGGTGAGCAGCGCAGGAAGGACGCACCTGGGGCAGATCTTAGAGAGGCCTGGCTTGCGTGGGTGAGGGAATGGGGTGGAGCAACGAGGGGCGGGACCGTGGAAGGGGAGGGGACCATCGAGGGGAGGGCTGGGCTAGGCCATGCTGGTGGGAAAGGTCAGGAGGGGTGAGAGCGGCCTACGAGGATGGAGATGAGAGCAGGCAGGCACCCAGGAGTGCGGATTCAAGCCCATCCAGCTCTCTGATTTCTGCAGCCCTGAGGTGCAGCACCTTCTACAACCTGCCGAGGGAGGACTCGTCTCTGCGGAAGATCTGCCACAAAGAAGTCTGCAGATGTGCCATGGGTGAGGCTCTTGGGGCCACGGGAGCCAGGATTACCGGGCTGTGGACCCGGGAGTCCTTGACCACCAGGCCTGAGTTTAGAGAAAGGAGAGGAAGATAGACGAAGAAGGACAGAGACAGAGGACATACGTGTAGTGAGGGCCGAAGATGGAGTGAGTTACAGACTCAGAGAGAGACACAAAGGGGAGAAACAGACTTGAAAAAGACCAAAAGGTGGGGCAGATTGGGGAAAGAGAACCTCAGACCAGAAAGGCTGGACCCTGAGACCCGAAAGTGCAGATCTGGGCTCGGGTAAGGAAACTCCCGCCTCCAGAACAGTCAGAGTTGCGTCCTCCTGACCCCCCAGAACACTGCCCAGTGCCGAAGAAGGGCCAACTGAGCCTCCAGGAGCTTCAGGCCGCGGCTTGTGAAGTGGGCGTAGACTATGGTGAGTATGGGCAGCTACCGAGGGCAGGTAGGCCCAGGCCCATCCGTAGGCCAGACACTCAGCACGCCTCTCCTGCCCCTCCCCCAGTGTACAAGGCCAAACTGGACACTGTGGAGACCTCGGATTCCAACCCCAATGTCTACTATAACATGCAGCTCCAAGTTATCATCAAGAGTGGTATGTTAACTTTAGAAATTCTGCATTACTTGGTAAAGCAATATTTTCCAAATGATACTGCAAAGTTATGCATAGCTAAAAATCCATTCTCTGTAAGAGACACCAGTTTATTTTAATGTAATAGTACAAAGCTTATAAATGTGGTTTGAGTCTTCATTTTAGCTAATCTTTAAGACATTACCATAAGTCACGTTTGGTGTAGTATCAAAAGACAGTTTACACAGTTAACCTGAAATGGTATTAAAGTCTTCCTTTTCTCTTTAACCCCAAAATATCCCCTGAAGTCTTAAAACCAAACCGTATATAAACTTAACTAGAATGTCTACCTGAGCATTTTGCTCTTTTAAGAACTGTGGTGGTAGTTTTGTGCTGTGGAGTCAGAACCGACCCATAGCAACCCTGTACAGGGTTTCCGAGGCTGTCTGTCTTTACGGGAGCAGAAAGCCTCATCTTTCTCCCGCGGAACAGCTGGTCATTTCAAACTGCTGACCTTGCGGTTCCCAGCCCGATTCCTAACCACTACGCTACCAGAGCTCCTTGTTAAGAACTGTATGGGATCAAATAGACAACAGGAATTAAAAAGATTACGGACGTAGAACCCTATGGGGCAGTAAGTTTGTCAATGGGAGAGGAACAGTTCAGAAAAGGGGGGTGAGAATATTTGTACAACTCAGAGAATAATCTATGTTACTAAATGTACGTGCAGAAAGTTGGTGTATGTTTTACTGTAATTTTTTCAACAAAATAAAATTGTTGTAAGTTTTCTTTAAAAAAAAAAAAAAGCGGTATGTCCCTTTGTCAGCGGGGTTGGGAGGTGGGGTGGGGGGTGGGTGGCTGCCCTGCAGGTGTCTCAGACATTGGGTCTCCTCCAGGCACCGATCTTGCTGCACCTCTCACCACGAAGAAATTTGTCTCCCACGTCACCTGCCACAGCTCTCTGGGACTGCAAGAACAGGAGACTTACCTCATCATGGGCCAGATCACAGATCTGTGGCGAGTCAAATCTGAGTAAGTAGGGTACCCCTGCTGCCCTGGGGCCACAGGTCTGGACCTCCCTCCACACCCCAGCCCAGCCCATGGCTCCCCAGTTTCTGCTGGGTTCTAGGTTGTCAGGGCCGCCCTGAATGGAAGTGCAGTTTATGCATTGATGAACCCCAGGGATCACCATCCACATGGAGAGGTTTTAGATATGGGTATTCAACTGTCCTAAGATCCCGCCCTGGAGGGAGCAAAGGGTTTGCACTGGGCTTCGAACTTAAAGGTTGGCAGGGTCACCACGGAAGAAAGGTCTGGCAATTTGCTTTCATAAAGATTACAGCCAAGAAAACCTTAATGGAACTCAGTTCTGTTCTGTAATACCTGGGGTCTCAATGAGTCCGAATTGACTCCAACAGCAGTGGGGTTTGGAGTTTGTTTGTTTTCAATTCTCTGTCTCAGTAAAGAGTAGAAGGAGGGGTTCCTCTTCTAATCCCCAGGTAGGAGCTGTAAGAGGTGGCTTCAAAAAGATCATGAGAAAATAGAATAGAAAGAGAATGCAAGTTTTCCATGAACTTCTGAAGCTGCCTCCTATGGCTAAGGAGGCCTAGTATCATAGTGGACTATGAGCTGGGCTCCTAACCACAAGGTCAGCAGTTTGAATCTACCAGGAGCTCTACAGGAGAAAAGTGAGACTTTCTGCTCCAGTAAAAGATGTATAGCCTCAGAAACCCTATACAATGTCACTATGAGTGGAAACCAACTCACTGGCACACCACCACCACCACTGAAAGCTACCAAGCAGGGCAGGCAGGGTGGGTTCAAAAGGCTCTCAGGACACCAGGTTGTGCCCCCTCTCCCTTGCTGTCTCCCTCCCACAGCTACACCTACGTCCTGGGCAAGGAGACCTTCCTCATGCATTGGCCAGCAGAGAAGGATGTGGACAAGAAGGATATTCTGGCTCAGTTGCAGGAATTTTCAGAATATATGCATGTCCATGGCTGTGAGTCCTGAGTTCCTGAGGCCTCTGGAGCTCTGAGGGTGGTATCTCCAAGTTTGCCTGAACCACTGAGTTCAATCCCCAAATAAAGAGCATGAATCATCATATGCAACTCTGGATCTTTTTTCTGTTCCCACCTGCCACTCACACTGTTCCAGCCACACAGGCTTTTCTTTTTAGCCTTCCCACTCCAGGGGTCCCATTTTCACTCACTCTTCCCTCTAATGGGTACATCCTTCCATTAGATATCCGTTTGGCTTGAGTTTCAGTATTGTGGAATCGATTTTGACTCATAGTGACCCCTTGTGTGTCAGAGTAGAACTGCACTCCATAGGGTTGTCAGTGGCTGATTTTTGGGAAGTAGATCCCTAGGCCTTTCTGCTGAGGTACCTCTGGGTGGACTCGAAGCTCAGCTCCAACCTTTCAGTTAGCAGCTGAATATGCAAACCCTTTCCTTACTTGGGCTTGGTTTAAATGTCACTCTTCATAGAGAATTCTTTAATAACACACCTAAATAGATCTCCTTCCCATTACTTTCTTCCCCCTTGTTCCACTTTATTCTCTCCATGGCATTTGTAAGTGTATCATCTAGCACACTTCATGACTGTTTACTATGTGTGCTTCCCATGCCCCAGAAAGTCAGCTTCTTGAAGACGGGGGTCGCATCTGTCTAGTTCAGCACTGTATTCTCAGTTCCTACAGAAAGGAGCTCTGGTAGCGTAGTGGTTATGAATCGGGCTGCTAACCTCAAGGTTGGCAGTTCGAAACTACCAGCTGTTCCACGGGAGAAAGATGAGGCATTCTGCTCCCGTAAAGATTTGCAGCCTCGGAAACCCTGTGCAGGGTCACTATGAGTTGGAACCGACTCCACGGTACTTAACAACAACAGGAAGAGCTGGCGTACAGAAATAATTGTCGAATGTGTGGATGAATGGATGAATGAATTTGGTGCCTTCCTCTGTCCCTGGTCCTGAAGGCTCACACTTGCTGCCTATCTTCAAGGGGCTTTGATGGGGGAATCCCAAGCAGTGGTAGAGCCAAGACGAGGGTTAGGACGGACTGAATTAATGTATCCATGTGGGCTGATGGGGGGCAACCAGCCACACCAACGCAGCAGCCTACATTAGGATCCTGAGCCTCCAACGAGACTGGAGGGATTGCAATGCATCCAAGAGGCTTAAGCTCTGGGTGTGAAGAAGGGAAAGTAAGAGCGAAATGGTGCTGGGGTAGGCTCACTTCATAAAGAACATTGCAAGTCAGATTAAAGGATTTGACCATTATTGAGGGCAGCAGGGAGCTACAGAAGGTGTTTGAGCAGAGAAGGACTGATCAGTCCTGAGGTGGAAAGGCCCTGCTGCCTGAAGGATAGGAGTTGAGTTGATGGCAGAAAGCTTGTGGAGGAAGCTGGAGCAGTGGGGTCATGCTGGTAGTTGCCTGGGCTCAAATTCTGCCTCCACCTCTTCTTGGCTGTGCTACATTAGCCTGGCTACTTCTCTGTCCTTCAGTTTCCTCATCTGAAGCAGTATTTCACTCAGAGAGCTGTTTGTGAGTGTCCAGACGATGGAGCAAGTTTCATAAGTGTTCACTTGTCCTACTTTCTAGCATAGAGGTACAGTGGTAGAACTCTTGCCTTCCATTTGTGAGATCCGGGTTCAATGCCTGGCCAATGTGCAGCCTCCACTCACCTGTCAGTGGATGCTTTTGTGTTACTATGATGCTGAACGGAACCCTGGAAGGGCAGTAGATTATGAGCTGGGCTGCTAACCACAAGGTCAGCAGTTCGAATCTACCAGTCGCTCTGCGAGAAAAAGATGAGGCTTTCTGCTCCTGTAAAGATTTACAGCCTTGGAAACCCCATACGGGGTCATCATGAGTGGAAACTGACTCCATGGCACACAATCATCACCAACACCATGATGTTGAATTTCATCTGGAAGTTCAGCAGAACTTCCAGACTAAGAAAGATGAGGAAGAAAAGCCTGGTGATCTACTTCCAAATAATCAGTCAATGAGAACCCTCTGGTTCACAAAGGCCTGCTCCCATTTTGCATGGAGTCAGAGGCTGATTCAACAGTAGCTATAACAGCCTTACTATCAAGATCTAGGCAAGATGGCCAGAGGGAGAGAGAAGAGTTACTAGAATCCAGCAGCCAGAAAAGAAAATCAGGTCACTGACCCTCCCCAACTCAAAACACACGAAGGCTCCCATCAATCTGACTCTGTGACCTTCAAGAGCCTGCACTGTCTTCCAGTCACTTCCTCATCCCATGCCCCACTCCTTCACTTGGTCCAGCCACGCTCCATGTTCCTCAGATACCCCAAGCTCATTGCTACCCCTGGGTCTTTGCAAAAACAGTTCCCTCTACCCAAAACGTTTTTACCTGCTTCCTCCTCATCCAAGTCTCCACTAAGACATGTCTGCCATGACCACCCTGGCTGAAGGCGACGGATTGGCTCCTTACCCAGTTCTCTCTCCCAGCAACCTGCTTGCTTCCTTCAGAACACATGTCACACACATAATTACATAATAGATGCTTTGCTTACATCCTGGCTGCTTGCTTCCCTCACTGGACTGGGAGTTGCAGGCAAGTAGGAAGGTTGTCTCAGACAGGGATATAATAGCAGCAGCTCACTCAGGGCCTGGCACATATAGATGTTCAGTTTGCTGAAAACATGAAAGAGGAAAAAAGAATGAGAGAGATGGAAGGAAGGGGCAGAGGAGGGAGGAAGTGGGAGAAAGAAGGAAGAAAGGGGAGAGGGAAGGACGTTTGGTTATTATAAACCCAGACTCCATTTTCTGATGCCTCCTCATCTCTGTTGTTCCAGCCTCAGCTTAAATATTACTTATTTCAAAATTGCAGGTCTGCTCCCCTTCCCCATGAACTTAGCCTACACGTTAAATCCAGGATAACAGCCCAAGGGCTGTTCTTCCCCTCACCAACTCCCCCGTTTCCCACCCAAAGGTCACTTCTGAGAATCAAGATAGGAATTCATGCCCTCTCTGACAAAACCCCCACTTTCCCACTGCTTGCTTTAAGCTAGGCAATAGCCCTTACACCTTCTAAATAAAGCCTTCTTCCACCAGGGACCCTGTCAAAGGCTTGAGTCCAGATCCATTCCTGCTCTCTCCAACTCTCCCCTTCATTGGCACCCATGTGAACTCAGACTTCTCCCTTCCAGGACCTGTGGATAATGCACTATCATGTCCTCATTTTGTTGGGTGAATGTTGACGTGCTTCTTTGTGTCCCAAAAAAAAACTCCCACTTAGTATCCACACAGGTGGTGGTCTCACCTGCTGTCCCCCTCTGGGTGGCTGTGTGTTTTCTTCCTGCAGTGAACTCTCAAGGACTTCTTTATATTTTTCTAATATTCGTGCAAAGAAAGACAGGAGAAAGGTTGGCTCATGCCTGTTTTTATACAGACTTTGAGCTAAGAATGTTTTTTTACACTTTTTAAAAGGGCAAATTACACTTGAGGTGATAGTCATGGTTGTGCTTATGAAGCTATGCATGTGGGCAGGATGATGCCAGAGGCAGAGTGGCATTTTTACTGATTCCAGTTAGCTGTGTTGCAGTCATGTGAAGGCTGGATGGGACTGGAACACTCGCCTCCAAGATGGCTGACTCACATGACTGACAACTTGGTGGTGGTTGTCGGTGGGAGACCTCAGTTTTTCACCTTGTGGCTCCCTAGGGCAACTTGAGCACTCTCACAATATGGCAGCTGGCTTTCCTCAGAGAGAAAGTGGTCAGAGAGAAAGCAAGAGAGAGCCACCGTGCCTTTTATGCCTAAACTCAAAAATAATTTCTACATGAGGCGCGTGAGTCAGCTCTGTTCAGCGTGTGGGCAGAGTTTGCACCAGGCATGAAGGCCAGGAGGCAGGCTGCCCATCCCCATTAGTAAGTGGCAGAGCTGGGACCCCACAAGCAGTCTGATCCCAGGCTCCATACAGCCACCCACTATACACAAATTTCACAATGGGGGGAAAGTTGGGTGCATTTTTGTTTGGGTTTGGTTTTTGACCATTTGTTTTTAATTTATAAACTATTTTTAGAGCTCTTTTAGATTTACATAAAAACTTAGCAAAAAGTACAGAGTTCTGATATATACCCTCTCCTCTCCAGTCCATACATTTACTGTTCTGTTTCCCCTGTGATTACCGTCCTGTGTTGGTATGGTACCTTAGCTGAAATTGATAAACCCATATTGATACATTATTATCCATGTTACTTTGTTAATGCTTTGGAAGAGAGTCTGCGGGTTTTGGCAAATGCTTAATGCCATGTGTCCATTACGACAGTATCATGCAGATTCATTTCCCTGCCCTAACAATGCTCTTTGTTTCATCTATTCAGCCAGAGAAGGTTGAGACAGCCTGCTGCTGTAAACACTTACAGCCTCAGAACCTCAATACAGCAATTCTCTTCTATTCTCTTCTATTAAGGTGCTCTGGTAGTGTAGTGGTTATGAATTGGGCTGCAAACTGCAAGGTCAGCAGTTCGAAACTACCAGCTGTTCTACAGGAGAAAGATGAGGCTTTCTGCTCCCGTAAAGACCCTGTACAGGCTCACTATGAGTTAGAACCGATTCCATGGCACATAGCAACAACATTTTCTTCTATTTAGTTGGAATCGACTCAAAGGTTGTGGGTTTGGTTCTTTGGTCATCTATTCCTCTCTCCCCATTAGACTCACCCCAAATGCCTGACAATTACTGATCATTTTAGTATCTTTTCCTCCCCTTTTTGTTGTCTTCATTCTCTAGAGAAACAAAACCAAGGAAACTTACATACGTCCATATAAAGAGAAGTTTCTACCAAAGAAATGAGCCCCACAGTTGTAGGTAGGAGAGATGCAAGTCTGGGTCAGAAGAACCAAGACTGCAGGCTATATGGTAAGCAGGCAGACAGGTCTGACAAGCAGATCCAGCAAGCAGATCAGGCAGGCATTAGAACAGATCACCGGTTCAAGTACAAGAAACTGTCAGTCAGGCCAAGCAGAGAGCAAACAAGCT